AGAGAAGCAGCTTCTGCAAGTATGAGCTAACACACTGATTTCTTTATCAAGAAAGACTTTGTGTGTGGGAAAAAATGGATGAACCAAGTAGTGCACATGGCGGTACACTGACAGAATAGAGGTGGGCATGGAGCATCTGTGGATTTTAAGTGTCACTGGTATTAAATGTGACTATAGAAAAATTTGTGACCGGAGGCTGGGGATTTAGCTCAGCGGCACAGTACCTGCCTGGCAAGCGCAAGGTCGTGTGTTTGATTCCTGGTACCGGAATAAAACCAAAGGAAAAAAAAAAAAAAGAAAAATTTGTGACCAATGTGAAGGACTAAGATTTCTTAGAAACTTTGGCCATTTGACTATAGTTTGTGTAACAACACCTAAGGTTCTTGGAGTTGCATGAGATGTGACATAAGTAAAAATTGGCATTGACACATAAACAGTACATGACCTGTCTCTTCCTAGGTAAGTAGGCAACATACTGAAGAACCTAGTTTTTTTATCAAATCCACTTAGGTTGCTTTTCTGCAAGAGAATAAATGGGATAATGTAGAGGGGAAGGTGCACAATGGTGACATATTATACTATGACTCACATCTCATTTTGATTGCTAATAGAGAACCTGTGAAAATTAGAGCTTATTGTTTCTTATCAGATCGTGACATACTTTTCCACTGGCTATTTGGCTAACAGTATAAATTTATCCCAAGTGCTTTCAATTTCTCATTTGTTACACAAGATGACTTTATCATATGGGGGTGAAAACCTTCTTTTGTTTGAAGTAGACATTCAGAGATGACTATCTCTGAAAAAAGGCAGAGGTATGTTGGAACTCTTTTGGCCATTATTTTATATACTTGTCATTATATTGTAGTTAGAGTTTGGAAATAATCATGAAATAAAATCTAATGGTACAAAATTCATGATGTCTGCTGCAACATCAGAAGATAAAGCACTAAAGGATTTGACACTGAAATTGGGATTCAGATATCTCAGTTTACTCAGCCCCAAACTGACTCCAAGATGTAATGGTCCAGTGATATCATGAGGAATATATTCTGTGTGGTCTTGGTAATAGTTCTGTGGTTTAAATGACAGGCTAGTGACCCTATAAATGATGTTTGCTAGTCTCTCCTGCTCTATCTAGAAAAATAAATAATGTAAATAAATTACCAAATTTAAAAATAAAAAACTTCCAAATTAAACCTATACCTTTGTTCTTCTAGAGGAACCCAGAACAAATTACTACTAGAAAAACTTTTACATCACTTTTGGAATTGTTTATCTTCAGGTCAGCAACAATTAGGTGCTGCCATCAGCCATTCATCATGAATTGAAGAAAAACACTTTCTCTCCAGGGCACTGGATCAACCAAATCAAACAAAACCAACAGTTGAGAGCAGATATTTTAAATATATGTACAAGAACTACCTTTGTTATGTAGTGGTATCATTGTTCTACAAAAAAGTAGTTCTGATAAATAGAGTTTAAATAAAGTTTAGTA